GAGAGAGAGAGAGAGAGAGAGAGAGAGAGAGAGAAATGGTGATGTGAGAGACACAAGCGCCCTGATTGGGGTTGGGATTGAATCTGCAACCCAGGTATGTGTCCTTGACCGGGAATCGAACCTGGCACTCTTCGGTGGGCAGACTGATGCTCTAATCACTGCACTGCGCCAGCCAGGGCTGATCGTTTATTTTTTATTTTATTTTCTTGTTTTGAATAGGTCAGCGGCTCTCAACCTATGGGTCGCGACCCCTTTGGCGGTGGAACGACTCTTTCACAGGGGTCGCCTAAGACCACCCTGCATATCAGATATTTACATTACGATTCACAACAGTAGCAACATGACAGTTATGAAGTAGCAACGGAAATAATTTTATGGTTGGGTCACAACATGAGGAACTGTAAAGGGCCAGAAGGTTGAGAACCACTGGAATAGGTAATACATTCACATGGTACAAAATTTCAAAGATATGAAAATATGTATGATAAAAATCTCTCCCACTCCTGCCTCTAGCCATCTCTGCCCTCTCCCAATTTTCTTGTTTTATAAAAGTAATAGCATACTACATTATGGGGCCAAAGATTTATGGATACAAGACATTAGAAATAGTTTGAACATTAAAGAAATAGTTTAATAAATTAAAATGGAAGCATATAGTAGAAATATGTCATGACTGAAATGTTTGCAAAAGCTGTTAATTTGAGAACATACTTATAAAACCAACATGAAAATAAAATAAGTTATACAGTATTTTCTCATCACTTAATTAAAAAAATCTACTGTGTTAAAAATACTTAAAAAATATATATATATATACCACATGATAAAAATAGCTGTCACTTAGCCAAGGGATTAAGTTTTTTTTCTTAATTCTTTGTTCTTTTCAGTTTCTCTAGCCCATGAGAGGGGGGTTAAAGCACTCGGGGGCAGGCATCACCGCCACACCTGCGGAAGGCACCTTCCTCGCCTGGAACGACTTGGCGTTTAGAGATACACCCACGGAGCCCTCCTTATCCGATGTGTGAACACAGCCTGGAGGGAGGTGAGGCGGGAGGAGAAAGGAGCGAGGCATCTGCCCTTGGTCCTTGGCTGTGCTCTCAGCACCATTAACTACTGGGGGCCTGGACGCACTGAGCTCTTCGTCTCTTTGTCAAGAGCATCTAAGTTCACTGACTCAAAATCCAGAACTGGGGTTTGTAAACACAACAGCTGTGCCCACATGAGAAATTTTAAGGCTCTGAAGGAGATGTCAGCTGCTAGAAGGGAGGACACAGGCAAAAGCCATGAGCTGATGCCCGTTCCACTCTCTGAAGATGCAGAGAGCACACCATGAAGAGAGGTACGCTTTTCCTAAAGGACATTTTCTAACACAATTGTTTGCCTTTGGGAAAAAAACACACCCAGTCATTTAGTTTCAAAGGTAAGTCAGACCCTCCTGCCAAGCAGGCCCTGTCTGGGAGAACGACCGGACCTGGGGCTGTGCTGTCGGCGACCATCTCCGGGGCCCTCCACAGGCCGCGGCCGTAGGAGGCACATCCGTGCGCTATTAATCCAACGTGCTCTCCACCAGTGTGAGGTGTGGGTTACCCTCCAGCGTGGCGATGAGAACTCACACACCTGCCCTCAGCGGGGGCCCAGAGGCCCAGCCGCCCAGGGGGAAGGCGAGCCTGTCCAGGCACGGCCGGTCTCTCCTGCGAGGCCTGCTGTGAGGGCCGCCTTGGATCTCCCCTCACAGACCAGCTGCTCCCCTGAAAGGGTTTCAGGCAGCCCCTCAGGAGAGCAGGCCGGTCTCCACGGAGCCAGAGCCGGCACTGGGACCTCCACGCAAAGGCGTGCCTGTGACTCTCATTTTGGCTGTAACTTGCCTCCACCGTGTGGGGGTCCGCGCTGGGCTCCCTCACAGCCCTCCTCCTCCTCAGGGAGGCCTGGTGGGGGCATGGGAGCAGCCGGGACCGCTCCCTGTGGGAAGCCTCACAAAGGCTGAGCCATCCCCCGCTGCTAACAGGAGACATGTGTCCACCCGGAGCCTGCCAGGCAGCTGGCAGCCAGCTGGCTTCCTCGGTCAGCCCTCCTTCCTCCTGTCCTTTCATCCTCTCTCTTCCTAGTGAGAAAGCAGGGAAAGACCACGCTGTGGGAAGACGGCTCCATGCTTCTGAGGCCGACACACAGGAGTGGCGGGCTGCGGTCTGTCTCGGAGGAGTCCGTGCCGGCTGGGCAGCAGGGAATGAACCGCATCCCGGGAAACGGGCGAGAGGAGGAGAGCCGCTCACAGGAGCGAGCTTTTCCAGGACGAGTGCTGTGAGGACTGGCTCACGGGAGCCGTCAGGGCAGAGCACATTCTGAGGATGTGAAATCTGAGAATGCCTGTCCCACGGGCAGCTCCACCCAGGTCAGCAATTCAGTGCCACCAGCCAGCAGCTCTGGTCGGGGGCACGGACTACACCATTTCCTTAACCTCAGGCCGTTCTGCTTTAAAAATTTCAGTAAGTTACCAACCTCTTCTTGAAGCTTTGAGTTAGTCTTTTCCAAGCCATCTATCTTGGTCTGAAGATCCCCAACTGTGCAGCTATGGGAAACACAACATCAAGAAAGTGTGAACTTACAAAGGCTGACCGCCTTTCCAACCCATGAGCAATGTCTCCTGCAGGAAGTGGAGACAAAGGGCCTCCAATGAATTCGGGTGACAATTCTAGGTACGTGTGTGTGTGTGTGCTGTACACTTGTTAAAAAGTGTTCCATGCCGAAACCGGTTTGGCTCAGTGGATAGAGCGTCGGCCTGCGGACTGAAGGGTCCCAGGTTCGATTCCGGTCAAGGGCATGTACCTGGGTTGCGGGCACATCCCCAGTAGGAGATGTGCAGGAGGCGGCTGATCGAGGTTTCTCTCTCATTGATATTTCTAACTCTCTATCTCTCTCCCTTCCTCTCTGTAAAAAATCAATAAAATATATTTTAAAAAAAAGTGTTCCATGTTTTCTTCCCAACACAATAAATGGGAACTAAATGCATTGGCAGTCATATATCTAATGTAATATTTATAACAAGACACTGGTACTTTGGGTAGTAGGATCAAAGGTCATTTATAATAAATATTGTAATACTTAAAAATACATATTTTTATTGATTTCAGGCAGGAAGGGGGAGAGAAAGAGAGAGAAACATCCATGATGAAAAAGAATAATTGATCGGCTGCATCCAGAACGCCCCCCTACTGGGGATCAAGCCCACAACCCAGGCAAGTGCCCTGACTGGAATTGAACTGTGATCTCCTGGTTCATAGACTGACGTTCAACCACTGAGCCACGCTGGCCGGGGAAATCTTGTAATACTTTGCCCCATTTTTCAAATATTCTTTAAGCACTATGTACTACTTTTCTACTGAAAAACATGTAAAGAGCTAAAGCAGACCTGATAGACAATACTAATAACCACCACAGAAATCACAGTAGCTTCTTTCTGTTTGGACAATGTGCCAGGCCTGTTGGCTATAAGCACTTTAAATGCATATAATCCTCCCACAATTGTGTGAGGTAAATTTTATTAACCTATTTTACAGACAAGAAAACCATAACTTTATAAAGACTTATCAAGTTCATGCCCCTATGAAGGGGCGCCGCGCCTGAGCCAGGCCGTCTGGCCTCGGAGCCTGCACTGTAGACAACGGGCCCTACTCCAACCTGCTGCTTGTGCCTGTGCGGGGACGAGCCACACTCCCGACAAGGCTAGAGAACCAGGGCTCAAGAACTGGGAGGGAGCTTTTCAGCAACAGGGAAGCGGGGGAGATCCCGCCAGGCTGAGGATGGCAGACCTGATTGTCCTTCCAGCCCTTTGACCGCCGTCCCCCGCGAATCCCTCAATAAAAGGGTTTGATTCATCCCCACCCCAAAAAGAACTGGGTGGAAGAAAAGTAAAAATACAAGGACACAAAATGAAAAGGGAACAAAGCAAATGATATAAAGGAAACTAAAAGTTTAAGAGTCGACAACTGTCAATTCTATACCGATTATATAGCTTAGAAAATATTAATAACATTTACATTTTTCTTAGGAAATATAAATTATCCAAACAGATCTTCCAGAGAAGAAAACCTAGATGAACTACCAACTAAGGGAAATCGATACACTGGCTGCGTCCAGGCTCTGCGCTTCCAGCATCCGAGAGCAACTAAGGCTCACGGACTAGGAGGCGTCAGTTCCCAGGCACAGAGCCAGCGCAGAGCTTCCCGGTTTGCTTCGGGAAGTGGCATAACCTCACTAACTCGCTAGCGCAGCGGTCGCCAACCTTTCGGACTCAGGGACGGCCAGCGGTCTGCGGACTACGGGTAGGCGACCTCTGCGCTAGAGGGCGAGAACTATAGGACAGTTAGGTCAAGTTCCCTGGTAAGAGAACAATTAAATTTTAAAGCTAGGATCAAGAAGAGTTTATTTCTATGATCCGGGAATAGCTCAGTATGAAGAAATCTATGAATCAAATAGATCACATCAACAGGTTAAAGTCACAATTATCTTATTGGATGCTAAAAACTCAACACCCATTCCTTATAAAAACTCTCAATAAACTAGGAAATGATCAAGAATTTCTTTCAAAGTAACAGCCAGCATCAGGCGAGCTGAGAGCAGCACTTCCCCAGGTCCGTCCTGAGGGATGCGGCAGCTCCTTCGCGTCTCACCTGCCCCTGGGCCGGAGGCCGCCCCTGCGAAGTGAGACTGCACACGCTCTGAAGGGGGTTCGGAGAGCGAGTGCCATCTCCCAGCACAGGCCACGGGGAGGCTCCACCTCTCCACTCCCATCAATACCTCCAGCGACTGCTGTTTCATCAGATACAGCAGCAGCGGCTTTCCAATTAAAATGAAAAATGAAGATAAAGATGCTGGCAGTGGCTACTGAATGCTCTCGAAGATCTCGCCCAGTGGTTTTCAATCCTTTTCCTCCTGCTCCCAAACCTGGAGGGAGGGGTGCTGATTCCCAGCAGCAACGATGCTCCCAGGGCAGCGATTTTCAACTAAGTGGCTGTGGGGAGGGGTGGAGACTCAAGGTTTTACTTATTGGCTCTAAACTGTGTAACTGCACAAAACGAAGAACTGAAGAAGTCCCAAAAGCTCTTTATCAAGACATCATACTGCTCCAGCCTGTACCTGTGAGCATGGCACGATAACCTTTCCTCCTGGTGTAGAAAGAAAGTGAGTGAGAAATACACGGCAACGCAAACAAGTTCCACGAAACAACTCGTGCACTGAGAACGGACTGTAACCTGGAGAGGGGTGAGCCTTACCTTAAGTGCCGGTTCAGCTCTTCCACATAATTTTTCTGATCAAGGACATCAGTAATTCTTTCATGCCTTTTAAAAGAGCACAAAAAGAAATTCTTTTTACTAAGGATTGACACTGTGTTGCTGTCCCTCAACCTTCGAGTCACCTGGTGGGGGTAACAACGTTACCAGGAAACCAAGAGAGAGAGCTTAGTACTGTCTACATGGCCCTGAGGGGACAGACAGCAAGGCCATGGGGGGACAGCAGCTGGGGCCTTGGAAGACATGGAAACACGCCTGGAGAGCAGGCTCCTGCAGAACCCCCGTCCCCCCCATCTCTCCCCCCCACAACTGGCTGGGTATTTGGGAGGATGAAGGCCATGAGCATGCAAGGTGGAAACACCAATAGCCACATGCAAATGGCTCCCACGGTGGCAGATGAAGACACCTCGCTATACTGAAGGAAGGGGGCTGGCTTAGAAAAGAGACCACGCGACCTCGAAACACAAGGTTGATGGGTCTGCATTAAAAAGAAAAAAAGACTTTCCCTGGCCAGCACGGCTCAGGTTGAGCACTGACCTATGAACCAGGAGGTTACAGTTCGATTCCCGGTCAAGGGCACATGCCGGGGTTGCGGGCTCGATCCCCAGTAGAGGGCGTGCAGGAGGCAGCCAATCAATAATTCTCTCTCATCATTGATATTTCTCTCTCTCTCTCCCTCTCCCTGCCTCTCTGAAATCAATAAAAGTATATTTTAAAAAATACTTTAGTATATAAGTTAGCCCCTCACATTCCTTTACATTCATACATACATATGTACATAAGTAGGATCATTCTACACAGGCTCATTCCACTGGACTGGGTTTGTTTTCCAATGCTGTCACTTTTTCCTTTTACCCGTTCTTCACTTTACATAACTCTCCCAGGTAACCCTAACCCTGTGGGATATATACTATGTGCATATACTCATCTATCGATCGTGCATGTGTATACTATGCAATTAAAATATAAAATACGGACTAGGAATTTTAAAAAATGGTATTCATATACTTCTCAGTATCATACTTTTCTCACTTAATAATACCTTGTGGAAATCCCTCTAAGTCAGCGGTTCTCAACCTGTGGGTCAAACGACCTTTTCACAGGGGTCGCCTAAGACCATCGGAAAACACATATATAATTACACATTGTTTTGTGATTAATCACTATACTTTAATTATCTTTAATTTGTAACAATGAAATTGGGGGTCACCACAACACGAGGAACTGTATTAAAGGGTCGTGGCATTCGGAAGGTTGAGAACCACTGCAGTCTAAGTCAACTATACTAGTAGCTCATTTTCTTAGGTCTTCATGGAATATTATGGATGTTCTATAATTCATTCATTCAATTATACCCTTACTGATGGATAACCTGTTTATTTCTAGTTTTTTAAAATATAAAGAATATATTTTAAGTGTAAAGTAGGTGAATCCTTGTATTTAGGGTGCATTAAGCATTAATGAGGTTCCCTCTGGCCCCTTTCTTGGTAAGGTGTGCGGCCAAGGTGCTGAGACTAGGAGTAGGGAGTGTCTTTGTTGGAAAGAAGATTGAATGACAGGTAACAGACGCACATAATAAAACAGTCAACCACGACCCAAGGGTTTACAGTGTATCTCCCTCCTGTCCTTTTCCCTCCAGCAGCATGGCTACCAAGTCTATGTGCCACTCTAGAAACAGTCCATGGGTACAGAGGTACAACATATATAGTGTTTTCTTTTTTATCATAACATAAATGGTATCAGGTTTTACATGTTGTTTGTTTTCTTCTTTTTTTAAAAAATATATTAGAGTCCCGGTGCACAAATTCGTGCATGGGTGGGGTCCCTTGGCCTGGCCAGCGATCGGGAGGTTGGCTGGCCCGGAAGAGAAACCACAGGAGGTTGGCCAGCTTCAGGGGGTTGGCTGTGGGTGTGCACTGACCACCGGGGGCAGCTCCTGCATTGAGTGTCCGCCCCCTGGTGGTCAGTGCGTCATCATAGTGACCGGTCAACCAGTCATTCGGTTGACTGTCGTAATGATCACTTAGGCTTTTACGTATAGATATTTTTATTGATTCCAGAGAGTAAGGGAGAAGGAGAGAGAGATAGAAACATCAATGATGAGAGAGACTTATTGATTGGCTGCCTCCTGCGCGGCCCCCACTGGAGATGGAGCCCGAAACTCAGGCATGTGCTCTGACTGGAATTGAACCCTGACTTCCTGGTTCATAGGTCAACGTTCAAACACTGAGTCAAACCAGCTGAGTGTCCGGGATAACTTTTTAAAATAATTTTTTTAAGTATTTTTATTGATTTTTAGAGAGATAAAGAAAGAGGAAGGAAGAGGGATATATAGAGAGAAACATCAATGAGAGAAAAACATCATCAATCAGCTGCTTCCTGCACAAAACTTACTGGGGTTCAAGCCAGAAAACCCAGGCGTCTGCCCTGACCGGAAATCAAACCAGTGACCTCTTGGTTCATGGGTCGACGCTCAACCACTGAGCCACACCAACTGGGCCAGGAGAACTTTTTTTAGAAGAATGCTTTTGTTAACAAGGATGAGGGAGAATTCCACATGGCATGAAAGACATCAAAGATAACATTAGGATCAAAGAACAGTTCCAGGCTGGGGGATGTAGCTCAGTGGTAGAGCGCATGCTTTGCATGTATGAGGCCCCGGGTTCGATCCCCGGCATTTCCATTACAAAGAACAGTTCCATGGGCAACTTCCTTATATAATAGGACCATCCCATTTACCTTCAAACAACTGCATAGCAAAATACATGACCAATGGCCCTGGCCAGGTATCTCAGTTGGTTAAAGTGATATCCTGATACATCAAGGTTGCAGGTTCAAGCCCTGATCAGGGCACATACAAGAATCATCCAGTGAAAGCATAAATAAATGGAACAACAAATCCATGTTTCTCTCTATCTCCCTTCCTCTCGCTCAAATCAATTAAAAAAACAAACAAAGCACCAGCCAGTGTGGTTCAGTGGGCCTCATCCCAGCACTGAAAGGTTGCTGGTTCGAGTCCCGGTCAGGGCACATGCCCAGGTTGCGGGCTCAATCCCTGGTAGAGAGTGTGGAGGAGGCAGCCAATTGATGCTTGCTTTCTCTCTCTCTCCCTCTCCTTTCCTCTCTCTCTAAAAACCAACAAAAAATCTTTATAAACGCAGCCCTGGCCCCCAGCTGGGACACAGTGTGAGGCAACCAATCAATGTGTCTCTCTCACATCCATGTTTCTCTTTCTTCCCTTCTCCCCTCCCTTCTACTCCCTCTAAAAATCAATGGAAAAGATATCCTCACTCCTCGGTGCGTATTAAAAAAAGTCATGACTAACAAAGCTGTATGTGTGGGGCATTAACAGAGGGCTTGACAGGAGAGACGAGCAGACTCCTCTGAGGGGGAGCAGGAGGGGCAGGGGCAGGGAGACAAGGGGCAGCAGGAACGGAGAAATTCCACTTGTACTCTGCATTCTGTAGTGCACAATTCCTCAAACAAAGGGAAAATTAATGTATCACCTCTGTAATTCAAAACAGACAAAGAAGAACTAGAATTTCAAACAAAGCTAAAACAAATGTAGCATTCTTGCTGGGATTTCATTAATAATGTGAACAACAGCATACAATCCGGTACTTACTCTTTGCCACCATCAAGATCCTGCATATCCTTAAGGTAGAGGGAAAAATCGATCACTCCAACCTGTTCAAAATAAAACACACACGTTTAGGTAAAAAATCTCCTTCTCACTTTCCACACAAACCTTACACTCTTTGGAATTCTGGTGTTTACTTCCCTGTCTCTTTCCTACATATACTTAGGTTGAGCAGCTCTGTAAAACAGCAATCAAACAAACAAGTCAAAAAAATTACTCCACCACACCCTTGTAGGAGAAAAACTTACTAAAAATCAGAATTTAAAGAAATATTCTGAAATTTTACCACCCAGTTAAGATTAGTTTTATGTATTTATTCAATTATCAAGTTGTTGACAAAAGATCAACCAAGTTCTTTGGGTACCAAGTAATAAAAAAGGGAGAGACCTAGGCTTTAGACAAAAATGGTGACCTTCACTAAGACTCTGATCCCTTGCTCCGGGACTGTGGGGAAATGGACTATCGGTATTCCAGGAAAATTCTCTGCCGCTGCGGGCACCTAGAGAGGATGAAGACCCCTCACGTCTCAAGGTCAAGGGTTTTGTCCAGAAATAAGGCACCTGAGAGAGTGAGTGAGGGTCCTTGTCTGCCACCGTCCACTGCAGTATATGTGAAACTATTCCTATTTGAAATGTAAGAACATTGGGTCCACTGATAGAGAAATGTTTAGTCATTTTATAGCCATATCACAGAACCCTAGGCAACCATACCAAAGAATGCAGCAGATGGAAATGTGTTTACACAAAGGAAGTTCCAGGATAAAATTTTAAGTCAAAGAATAACATGTACAGCATTAAACTCCTTCTCATAATTCCACTTGTGTTAAAGCCAAAGCTATGCAGGATGGTTTTTGCAACTTCTCTGTAGCACCTCCCACTAATCCATATTCCTGACCCTTGATCCTGACTGACCCTTCGTGCCGGTCTTGATGAGTTAGAAAACAGCAGAAATAGGCCCTGGCCAGGAGGCTGTTGGTTAGAGCACTGTCCTGTAGACCAAAATGCGGCAGGTTCGATTCCCGGTCAGGGCACATACCCAGATTGCAGGTTCGACCCCTGGTTAGGGCACGTACACACGGCAGAAGAGGAACATGGGTTACGAAGAAAATGATGTGCTTGAGCAAGCAGCAGAAACGACGGCTCTGACTTCTGCAGCAGGTTACCGAGGGCAACACCAGCTTCTGCCCAGCACTTTCTCTCGGGGCACAGACCTTTGAATTCTGGGCTGCCATGAAAGTCTGGCCAAGCTGAAGCCATCATGCTGCACACCAAACGGGGAGACCACCTGGGGACAGAGGCCAAGAAGCCCTGCTGTCCCAGGCCAGCGCATGGCGCCTCCTCGGCCTCTCCCAGCCAGCGAGAGCGAGCTGCGTGCTGCCTGCCCAGCACCAGAGGAGGAAGGGCCTTGCTGAGCCCAAACCCCCAGCTGTGAGAGACAGTGGTGTTACTGTTCATGTGCCTGTTGGCTTGTTACACAGAAAGAGAAAACCAGAAGAGACTGAATTTGAACCAAAACCTATGTATACAGAAGTGCATTAAAAAAGTAGAAAGTTCAAGAAAGACACCCCTCCCTCCCCGGCCAACTTTTACCGTTAACTGTGGGATAAGAGTAGGAGAGGGGAGGGGAGAAGGGTAGTTTGAATTTCACGTTTCATGCTTTTGTATTAATTAATGTTTTTTTTTCAAGAAGCATGTACTTTTGAAATAAAAAAATAACTGAAAAATATATATTCAAATGAAAAAACCAACAGAAAGAATGAGAGAGAATATCCAAAGTAGAAATGAATGGATAAGAAAGCAAATAAAATCCTCCTCCCAAAGCAGAATTAATACAAACAATAGCTGCTTCTTCGAGTTCAACAAAGTAGACTAACCTCTATCAAGTATGATCAGTATTTGGAAAGTGCACGATATTACATGTGAGGAAGGTGAGATTTTATGATGCTGTAAGAGAATATGCTCATATAATAATTGATCTGAATGAAACAAATGACTTATGGAAAAATGTAAATGACTAAAAAAATAAGAGTTAAGAAACCGATACATTAACCAAAGGCCAAGAAAAAATTTAATGTAATAAAAGAACTAGGACCAACAAAGGTATTAGAAGTGGTCATACCAGCAAGCCTTCAGAGAAAAATAATTCCTGCTCTAATAACCTGCTGTGGAAAACAAGAGAAAGGATACTATCCAGCCTATTTTATGAGGTTAATACAATCCTTACACTGGAAAGTGACAAAGACAGTATAGGAAGGAAAATTCAGAACAGTGTCACTAATACCTGGAAACACAAAAATTCCAAATAAACCGGAGGCATATTAAATCCAGAAACACACTCAGAGAATAATGCATGGAGACTTATTTTAGGAAAGCAGGCATAATATCACACAGGAAACCAGTGAATTAATTCACTTATATTTATGAATTAAAAGCAAATATGACATTTCAATGGATGCCAAAAACAGTATTTGACTAGCATTTAATGTTCACTTTTCATAAAAACACAAAGTAAATTAGAATAAAACAATACTTTCTAAACATGAGATGGAGGACTCCTCAGACATCAACAGCAAACAACTCACACTTTATGGTGACAGATGAGAGGCACTGTGTTAAAGAACAGAGCAGGGGCTCAATCACATCTATTATTTAATACAATCCCCAATCTTTATTTTGGAATTTGACAAAATGATGTTCAAGTTGAGCTGGCAGAATGGACAGCCTGAACTATATTGAAAAAAGTATAAAAAAGTGGGCAAGAGGTGATCTATCAGAGTATAAAACAAACCGTGTAGGCCCTGGCTAGTGGCTCAATTGTTAGAGCATTGACCTGTGCACTGGAGGGTTGCGGGTTCAATTCCCAGTCAAGGGCATGAACCCGGATGCGGGTTCACTCCTTGCCCCAAATTGGGGCATGTGCAGGAGGCAACCAGTCAGTGTATCTCTCACGTTGATGTTTCTCTCTCCCCTCCTCCATCCTTCCTTCTACTCTCTGTGAAAAGCAACGGGAAAAACGTCCTCAGGTGAGGATTAACATAAAAACCAAAAGCAAAACAACAACAACACATATGGCTCTAAAAGTTAAAAGACTGTGCTCCTGGCGTAGGAATGCAGAGATCCAGAGACTAACAGAGAGTCCAGAAATAAACTTCAGTGTATTTTAGATATTTCACACATGATAAAGACAGATTTTCTTTATTTTGTTTTTTTTCAGGATACAGAGTTTATTCAAAATCCAGTACAGACTGGCCAAACTGCCTTCAACACCATGAACAGAAAGCCCGGGGAAAGGCAGTTGTTATAAAACCACTGGAATCCAGTTCTTTCCACATTACAAGTCATCAGGCGGGCAGGGGAATGTGCCATCTGCCCTCCGCATTAACAGTACTGAGCCTGTGATAGCTGGTATCAAAATATACATCCACGTCATCATAACAAACTACATTTGCTGCCCCTCATGCCTTGTAACGTATAAAAATGTATAAACTTATATGCATGCATATAGGCCTAACCAATGGACACAGACAACAGGGGGGTGAGGGCATAAGTGGAGAAATTGGGGGTAATGTGGGGATAAGGACATATATGTAATAACTTAATCAATAAAGAAATTTAAAAAATTATAAATATTTGTACCCTAAAAAAATAAATAAAATAAAATAAATGTTTATACCCTTGTCTCCACCCAGACATGGAAGATCAGGGTTCCAGGCACAGAGAAGAGGGCGGGGCCAGCCAGCATGAAGTCTGGCCTGTGCAGAGGGAAGCCCTTAGCACCCGTGAATGCAGGGCTGCACAAGGTACAGGAGACAGCTGAGACTCGAGGGCTGCTGTCCCACCGTAAGAGGCAGACGAGAAATAGAAAACTTTGGTCCAAAATTTGCAGAAAAAAAGAAACCCTGAAAGTGTGAAGAATCCTGGTCCTCATGGAATTTCAAATTAGTAGAGAAATAATATATCACACATGATATTCAGAAAACTGGTTTACCACGAGTAAAGAAATCTAGACTCATACTGTAAACTATGTTAAAACAAATGACAGGGAGATTATTTAAATGTAAAAAATACACAGTTGATTTAAAAAATAATTTTTAGGTGGGGAAGGACTTTCTAAGCACAATACCTTAAAAAGTATAAAGGAAAAGTCCATTAAAATTGATTGTCCCCAAAAATTTCTACAGAGAAAATCCGCTCTGAGAAATCGGGGGGAATAAAAGGATGAAAAACTCAGAGAAATGGGAAAAGGATAAACAGGTAGTCAAAAGCCGAACCATCAATGGCAAATAAAACATGAAAAAAATACTTGACCTGGCCTGGTAACTGTTAGTGAGAGCATCGTCCCCAAGATGCCAAGGTTGTGGATTTGATGCCCAGTCAGGGCGCATACAGAACCAACCAATGAATGCATAAATACGTGGGACAACAAATCAATGTCTGTCTGTCTCTCTCTCTCTCTCTCTCTCTCTCTCTCTCTCTCCTCAAATCAATCAATAAAAAAATAAAAAGAAAAAATACTTGACCTCCCTAGTTCTCAAAACTGTAAACCTGAGAATAGTTGCTTTGTCTATCAGATTGAAAAAGACCAGGCTGGTTTGGCTCAGTGCATAGAGCATCGGCCTGCAGACGGGCTGGGTTCAATTCCGGTCAACGGCACATGCTTGGGTTTTGGGCCCCATCCCCAGTAGGGGGCATGCAGGAGGCAGCCGATACATGATTCATTCTCATCCCTCTCCCTCTCCTTCCTCTCAAAAATCAATAAAACTATTTAAAAAAAGAAAAAGAAAATAGATGGATAGATTCCCAAATGTGTAGCACTGGTTCAATATATGCCCATGATTCAATTCTTCCAGAAACATGAAAACCTTATTAAAAAAATGTTTTGCTGGTGTTCATCGTGACACCAAAATGTGCATGCTTCGACAAACAATCCCCAAATTTATCCTAGGGAAATAATTGGACAAGAGTACAAAGAGGTATGAGGCTGTTTATAATATTGTTGTTAAAAAATGGAAACAACCTAAGTTAATAAGCATTGCTTACATAAATATGGTACATCATAAAATGCAATACTATGCAGCCACTTAAAATGCCTTACATCATCAGTGACACTGGGGGCTATGTGGGATATGTTCTTTAAAAAAATTACCGTAGTGTGCTTTAAATAACCATATTTTGATAAAAAAAAACGAACAAACCTCCGAACATCTCTCTCTAAAATACATACATACATACATACATACACACATCCTGCTTATTTGGGGACTGGAAGAATATATACCAAAATGTAACACTGAATTAGGTATCTCTGAGTAATGGGATTATGTGTGATATTTAGTTTCTTTTAAAAAATACACCTCTGTATTTGTTTATTTATTGTATTTTTTTGTTAATCCTCACCTGAGGGTATTTTTCCATTAATTTTTAGAGGAGTGGAAGGGAGGGGGAGAGACCCAGAGAGAGAAAGACTGATGTCAGAGATACACACTGATAGGTTGTCTCCCGCACCCACCCCGACCACGGCCAGGATCATCACTGGAATCGAACCCGGGACCCTTCAGCCCGTGGGCCAATGCTCTATCCACTGAGCCAAACCAGCTAGGGTAAAAATATACCTCTGCATTTAAAAAAATTTCTTCAATATGCAAAAACAACAAAACTATGGAAAAAAAAAAAACTGACCTGGGCGTGGAGGGTTAGGGAAGCTTTAAAGCCTTCAGGTCCAAACATGTGGTGGCAGAAGGCCCTTCCTGCCCTGAAGAGGGTTGAGGGAGGGACGGGTCAGGGTGCCTGTCCCGCTCAGACACCAGGAGTCTGGTCCTCCGCCCTGGTCACCTGCTCCCATCGTAAGCGGCTGCCCCACCTCTCTGTACCTTACTCACTACTTTCATTTGTGCCCCATTTTCTTAACCTGACTTCCCAAACCTCTCCTGACTCTATCTCCCCCTCCTCATCCAACCTCCTGGGACTTGTAGGTTTGTCCGCTCAATGTTCCGCTGTGTCTCTTCTTGGCCACTTCTAACTCATGGCCTGGGTGTGAGATTGATTGCTCTCAAGCTCTGACCTGATCATCTCACTGCCTAAAAACCTCCAAGAGCTTCTCAAAGCTCAAAGGACCATGTGAGAGCCTTTAGCCTGGCACTGGTGGCCCAGCATCTGAACCCAACCTTCACCTTCACCTCCCTGTGGGCATCTGGGCTCCAGCCGTGGAGAGCTCGTCCTGCTCACAAACATGGGTGCTTTCTGTGGGCCGCTGCCCAGCATTCTTCACTGTCCCCAGTGCTTCCCTGCCTCCCCCAGCACAGCCTTCGGTCAGACACCCCTTGTGCCTGTCTGAGGTTCAGCACTGTCTGCAGATCCTACATAAAATCCCTGGCCTAGAGAAGCTATTCCGTCAGGATCCAAATCCCCGCTTTACCTGAGAATCCAAGTCTTCTCCTTTTAAGCAGAGATTGGCATCAAGAACATTGAGTCCCACCAGCAGACCGACGATCACCATCCCCTCTTCCTCCATCATTAATGCCTCTGGCTCATAAAACTCACTGCAAGAGATTGGTGGCCAGGGGAGCCATTCAGGAACGTCCTCCCCACCCCTTCTCCCCACCCCAACCTGCCTTTCCACCTCTCAGCTCATGGCCTGACTGCCAGCAGCTCCCTTGTGTGAAGTTCCTTCCGCCTTTCATTCCCTCTCTTGCTGCCAGTCGCTGCTTCTCCTCTGGCCTCTCTTCCCTTATGGCTTAGAGAGGGCTCCTCCTGCCACTGGTCTATGGTGAATGCCGCCGTTTGGACCCTGGACCCCAGCCCTTCTCATCTCCTCTCGGCTCCTACATTCCTGCCCATCACTCTGCCCTCTGTCCCTATAGGCTCCTTTCCATATTGCTGAGAACAACTCCCACACCCAAGAATAAAATTCTTCCCTCTCCCGCATGTCCCATGGAGCAACACTGGCTGCTCCTACTTCCTGACAGCAGCCACCGCGGCTGTTTGCAGTGGGGCTTCAGCCCCTGTCTCTGACTGCTTCTGGTCACCACTGATCTGCTAATTTACCATCGTGTGTAAATTAGGTGGGGATAAGGACATATACAATTTACATCGTGTGTGTGTGTGTGTGTGTGTGTACGAGAACTTACTATCTTAAGAATCAGTTTTTATAGACAAAATCTGTAACTCAAAGTTACTGTGCTCAGAGTACAAAGGACATGACATACTTGAAATCAGTATTTATCATGTAAAGAATATTCAACAATAAACCATGACTTCAAAACAATGAAAAATTTGGAGTAGCAGGCCATACTGTAAAATATATTTTTATATCAATTAGATAAGAGAATTAACTCTAGAGAGATTCTTCCTTTATGAATTCTCATATTCTAGAGAAAATTCTTTTCATAATGATTATTTTTGCTTATAGTTATAAATATCAAATATGAAACAGTCAGCCCTACTTGGTTTGGCTCAGTGGATAGAGCATCGGCCTGCAGACTGAAGGGTCCCAGGTTCGACTCCAGTCAAGGGCACATATCCGGGTTGCGGGCTCGATCCCCAGTAGGGAGTGGGCAGAAGGCAGTCAGTCAATGATTCTGTCTCATCATTGATGTTTCTATCTCTCTCTCCCTCTCCCTTCCTCTCTGAAATCAATAAAAAATATATAAAAAGAATATATGAAACAGTCAAATTTCAGAGATAGCCAGTCAGTCTTTACTGATGCTAAGATATAAAATTTTATAAATTGGGTATGGAATCCTAAAATAGGTAAGATATTACAAAAAGCATTTAGTTCTAAAGTAATTTTTCCCGTTATTATCCAATCTAATAAATACAATTTTGCTGAAATTTAATGGAGTATACTGTCAACTACCTAATCTTAGGTATTTTTGAAGAATTATCTTTAAAATGACTTTTAAAAATGAAAAGTAATATAAATCTTCAGTCATTCATATCAACTTTCAGATATCAGTGCTCAAAAAAATAAAATAGAACTATTTTAAAACTAAGCCAGAGAATATTTATGATTAATAATAATTTGAATAAAAGCTCTATACATTATAGACTCTTATTTTAATTTAAGCAACACAAGCAAAGATAGGTGATGAACTACCTTAAGAGATGTTTATTGTCTATCAGCACTTTCAGATAATCTGCCAGTTTCTTTTGCATGAGTGCAAGATAAAGCCAAGCTCTGCCTCTTCCCACAGCTGTCCTAGAATTCAAACAGAGAATCGAACTGTTATGGCATAACTAGAGGCCTGGTGCACGAAATTCGTGCACTTGTGTGTGGGCGGGGGGGAGGGGGTAAACGGGACCCTCATCCCGGCCTGTGCCCTCTCGCAGCCCGGGAGCCCTCGGGGGGATGTCCAACTGACAGCTTAGGCCAGCTCCTCGTGGGGAGCAGGCCTAAGCCGGCAGCTGGGGGTGGAGGGGAGAGGGGAGGAGCGCTGCTCAACCAGAAGCCAGGCTCACTGCTCCTTAGTGCTGTCCCTGCCCCCTGCCCACTGGTGGATGGGGGAACTGATCATGTGAATACAGAGAATTCTGTAAGAATAGCTGCTTTGGGGGTCGAAGGAGCAGTGTCAGGGAAGGCACTATATACCTCTGGGTACTGTCTGAATTTTGTATCATGGGCATGTGTGTTTCTTTATTTTGACAAAAGAGGGGAAAAATCTTAAGCCACAAAATTTGATTCCTGGAACAAATATAATCAGATAAAACTTTGTGTATATTGATAAAATTTTACAGGAACCAGGAAATATTAGATTAGCTTTGTAGAATGGATAAATATTCTTTCAAAGATTAATACACAAGATCGTCAGTGCTTGTTAAAGTGTTGAAGTCTCACAAGGTTTCTGAGGCATTAGCTCAAAGATGCAATTAATTTCTGGCCTGGCCAGCATGGCTCAATGGTTGAGCATTGACCTATGAGATAGGAGGTCACGGTTCGATTCCTGGTCAGTGCACATACCTGGGCTGTAGGCTCAATCCCCATGTGGGGCATGCAGGAGGCAGCCAATTTTTTAAAAATATATTTCTATTGATTTCAGAGAGGAAGGGAGAGGGAGAGAGAGATAGAAACAATAATGATGAGAGAGAATCATTGACCGGCTACCTCCTACATGCTCCCCACTGGGGATCAAGCCCACAACCTGGGCATGTACCCTTGACCAGAATCGAACCCAAACCCTTCAGTCCTCAGGCTAGGCTAGGGGTCACAAGGGGTGACTGCCTAGGCTAGGGGTGTAGGGGACCCCTGGGCTAGGCTGGTTGTCTCAAACTAGCTAGGGCGAGGCAGCCAATTGATGATTCTCTCTCATCATTGATGTTTCTATCTCTCTCTACCCCTCTTCCTTCCTCTCTGAAATCAATAATTGTGGTAGAAAACATATAAAATAAAATTTATCTTTTTAAGTGTATTGGTTGGTAATGCTAAGTGCATTCACATTGTTGTGCAACCAAGCTCAAAGATGCGAACTTGGAAAGGCCTGTTTTAAACATTAAAAAAGGAAAAAAAGCCTCCCTGCTATAGACCTCACACTGTTTAAGGAAAACAAGATTCTCTTTAGGCAGAGCAAGTGCACCTGTGACAGACTCAGGAGTACAGAGGCACTGCTGTCATCAGTGTTTGCACCCAAGGGCGCTCTTAGGGCCACAGCCTGGCTGTGCACCCCAGGGACCTCAGGGCTCGTCTACTTTCATCAATACCAAAGGCTCTGAACACCCCGGTAACTCCACCACCACCACCCACAAGTAAACGATGAGGGGAAAAAGAGAACCAGAGTAAAAAGGAAAGAAAATAATGTGGGGGGAGAGGTATGCAATGATGGGATTTAATGCTGGGAAAATGGACACTAACACAGGCTGCTCAGTGGGGGTGTAACTGTCCCAGCGCTTCCAGCAGGCAGCTTGGTGATGGCTGGCTACCCAATCCTACATCCAGGAACACAGCCTCAGGAAGTGACCAGAATGTACAGGGGGTTTGGGGATGGTCACCACCGCACTATTTGGAGAATGAGCATGGGAAGACAGCTACGAAGCCCAAAGGGGCGTTAAGCATATGAGCTAGAGAACATACAGCCATGCCCATTTCAAAAGTGATGTGGATGAGCATCTGACGTGGAAAGAGTCTACAATCTAATATGAAATGGAAAAAAGCCTACAGAACAGTATGTACAGTTTAATACTTAAATTTTTCTTCCTTTTCTTTTTTTAAAATTGATTCCAGAGAGAGGAAGGAAGAGGGAGAGAGAGAAACATCAATGATGAATGAGAATCATTGATTGATTGGCTGCCTCCTGCACCCCCCCCCCCTCCCCCCCTCCGCCCGGCATCAAGCCTGCAATCTGGGTGTGTGCCCTGATTGGAAATCCAACCATGACCTCCTGGTTTATGGGTCAACACTCAACCACAGAGCCATGCCAGCCAGACACTGTCCCTGAATGTGGCTCATGCACTTGGTTTTAAATTAGAAAATGTTTTATCATCAAGGAATTGAGAAATGGGTAAGTTTTTCTAAATATCAAATCAGTGTAATGACTTCTTACTCACTTTAATTCTGGCAGATTTCTGACACTAGTGGCTATATCTGATGCTTCTGGACAAAGTTTCTCCACCAGCTCCAAAGGACCAAAGAAAGATTTATTTTGGCCAATAAAACTCTTCTTAACTAAAAGGGAAAACAAAAGTGTTAGTCATAAGAATAGGTGGCAAAATGTCTTCAGGGGTCTGTGGTCTCTCTTCCAAAAGCCAAATAAATGCTTCAGATTTAATCCTTCTGCTTAATTCTTCAGATTTAGCCTTGGGGACTGGGCGAGGCCAAGTAGCAAATGAGCTCTCCCTTCTCTGGAAACGGATTCCCTGATGCACCTACTATGCTCTTCCTCCAAGTTGTTTACTGCCCATGAGATAAAACGTGATCCCTTGTGAAATCCTTCTCCTTTCTCAATACTTAATTTTGAATGGATATCACCACCCGCCTCACCTGAACTGCTGCAAAAACCTCCTAATGAGCCTCCCTGCTCCTAATATTGTCACCCTCCAGTCCGCACTCCACATTGCTGGGGTCTTTATGAGTGGAAGTCAGGTCATGTTTTCCCCGGGCTTACAGTCTTCCACGTCCTTAGAATAAACCCCGGTCGTCACCCGCAAAGGCCTACATGTTCGAGCCGTCCTCCTTTCCTCTCAGCACCCATAGCTACCTGACCGCTTTCTCCAGCCAAGGGTGGTCCCACGCAGGACCTTACCCTGTTTTTTGTTTTTGATTTTTGCTTTCCCCTAATCTTTACATGATTGACTGCTCCGTCCTGTATGTCTCAGTTGACGTTTCACCTCCCCAGAAAAACTGTCCCCTTTCCCCCAGCTGAAAGGTTTTCTCTTTGATTCTCTATCATTTAACCCATTTTGCTTCCTTGAATTTGTAGCATTTTATAATTATGTTGGTTTGATGCTGCGTTTATCATCCACCTCCTGGTCTGGAACTGTGCTGTCCAAGGTTATCACTAGCCACATGTGCTACTGAACACTTGTTCAAACGCTAGTGCAATTGAGGCATGCTATAAATGTAAAACAGCAGGTTTTTAAGCCTAAGTATAAAAAAGAAGGCAAAATATCTCATTAATAAGGCTTTTAAATACTGATTATGTTTCACAATGATATTTTGGATATATTCAGTTCAATAAAATATATCATTAAAACTAATTTTACTTGTTCCTTTTAATTTAAAAAAATGTGTACTAGAACATTAAAAATTGGCCCTAGCTGGTTTGGCTCAGTGGATAGAGCGTCGGCCTGCAGACTGAAGGGTCCTGGGATTCAATTCCAGTCAAAGGCATATGCCTGGGTTACAGGCCCCATCCCCAGTGGGGGCGTGCAGGAAGCAGCCGATCAATGATTCCCGTTCATCATTGATGTTTCTATCTCTCTCTCCCTCTCCCTTCCTCTCTGAAATCAATAAAAATATTTTTTTTTTTAAAAATTGCCCATCTGGCTTGCATGACTCTTTATCGGACAGCACTGCCCAGGGAAGTCGCATCTTGCAGGCAGGACGCGGTGTGCTTGTACACTGCTGTCATCCCGGCACCAGAACAGTGATCCGCACTGAGGAGCACATGCTGTGACCCGGGCGCCCAGGCTCACCTTTCAGCCCGTGTTTGAGGCAGTGCTCCATCACCACGAAAAACTGCTGCAAGGGGGCGTGGTCTGCATCCAGGCTGCGGCCCAGGCTCAGGGCGGACTGCAGCAAGACCTTGATGCTGAGCTTCATCATGTGCATCAGGTTGGCCCGCTCCTCCATCATCTGGCACTTGGAAGCTGGGGGCGGAAGCAGGGACAGCTCTGTCCGTGGACTGCGCGTGCTCCGGGGCAACAATGGCCAGGCCAGCGCGGGGTGCAAACGCGCGGATAACCGGTCCGCGGCCACCTGACCCTGGAGGTCACAGCCGCGCTGGGACCGCCTGGCCCGGGGTCAGCCTGCAGAGGGGCGGCCTCTCCCGGTGGTTGGAGTTGGGCCTCTCCGCACGCAGCGCCCTATTTTCCGCGCACCCGACAGGCGCAAACCGCAGGAAGCCCCGCCCCAAGCTCCGAACGTGCTCCGCCCGCGGACGTGCCTATTGGGCGAAGCCGCGAGGCCACGCCCACAGCCCGCGCGGGCGCCCCCTTGGCCGGGAGCGGTCCGGGTGCCCCCTGGGCCGGGAGGGGCTGGAGCCTGCTCCTCGGTGTCAGGGGCCATTCGAGTGGCTCCTGGGAAGCGCCTGCCACTCGGCTCTAGACTCACATTCAAAGTGTTGCCCACCTTTCGTCCACAATGAGTGGACCGTTATGAATTTTGTTAACAAAACCCTGAAACTCAGCTGTCTTTCCACTTCAATGCCATTAACCTTGTCGCTTTGTTCTGAGGTTTAAAAATAAGGAAGCCCATGAACAGACCTCCTGTTTCACAGGCGCTTTTTCTTCTCCCATCCCGCAGAAGAGTGTCAGTTCACTCCTAGCCTTTCCACGCACTGGCCTGGGTGCAGACAGTCCCACACAGTCCCACACGGTCCCACACGGTCCCACACGGTCCCACACGCCACCTGGTGGTGGAGCCGCCTGTGACGATTAAGTCACCAACAACAGGACAGCTTTAAATCCCTCACTGCTTTATTGCACTTAGCAATAGAGAGGGACACTTCTAGCCCTCTGCTGGGTGTCCTGAATTTAGAAAACTACAACCCCCAATTATATGTAATTATTTTCTGCTAGCCTCAATACTCTAGATGTGCCATTAACTCAATGGACATGTTTCATAAATTAAATGAGCCCTCCTGTAGCTCCAAGTTTTTGATGAAAATGGCTTTGAAGTACGTTAAAATAAGTCTTTTGGTCAAAAAATATTGTATTGGAAAGGTGTAATGAAATAATATTTAGATGGCCCCAACCATTTTGAGTGTTCTGGGTTAAACAAGATAAGTACATAAAAGCATTACAAGCATAATTATCATTAGATAAGTCTTGGTAAAGCCTTTGCTGGAAAACTTCCCAGAGGTTGAGATATTTCTTTAATTATTTTTAAATTTTGAGAGAAATCCTATGTGTTATATTTATACATTTGAAACTTTAATGAAATGGATAATGGGCAAAGGAAATAAAAATTATAAAACCTTTCTGCTTTATTGTACTTAGTTAAGGAAACCTGGTCTAGGGGGTGGGGGGAACACTTGCAAGTTGTATCCTCTCTTGCAAGTCAGATGATTTTCATTTGCTTTGAAAAAAAATTATTGACAGTAGATCAATGTGACTTGGAGCATATAACTTAGAAGTTCAAAGGCTCTAACAAAACTGTCTATAATTCTTATTTATATGAACCAGTTTTCTCGGGGATTACATCCATAAAAACAAAAAATTTGGAATAAAATTGATGCTGAGTCCTATCACATTTTATCAGTAAATCATATATATTCATCTACAGATACATGCTCATGAAAAAAATCAATATCATTTAGCTCATTTTAACAGAGGCAACTGTGCCTGCCTACCTGGTGTGGCTCAGCTGTTAAGCATTCACCTATGAACCAGGAGGTCATGGTTCAATTCCCAGTCCGGGCACATGTTTGGGTTGTGGGCTCCATTCCCAGTAAGGGGGTGTGCGGAGGCAGCCAATTAATGATTCTCTCTCATCATTGATGTTTCTATCTCTCCCTTCCTCTCTGAAATCAATAAAAATGTATGTTTTTTAAAAGAGAGGCAATTCCATGAAAAATATATGTATGATTATTTATAAAATTATATTTAAATTCCTTTTATCGACTTATTCATCACGAATACTTTTAATGGTATATTCCAAAAGAAAGGTTTTTTTTTTAATACACTTAGAGAGCTTTAGTCACAAGAAAAGTTTATTAAATTTTTATTTATATATTTTTGGCTGAGATATATGATATGATGACCAATAAAAAATTATAAAACATATGGAAGTAGAATGGGAATTCAAGTTCAAACGGTAAAAGGGAAAAATGTAAAAATTTTAAAAAACATGTTTTTTTAAAAATATATATTTTATTGATTTTTCACAGAGAGGAAGGGAGAGAAATAGAGAGTTAGAAACATCGATGAGAGAGAAACATCGATCAGCTGCCTCCTGCACATCTCCCGCTGGGGATGTGCCCGCAACCCAGGTACATGCCCTTGACTGGAATCGAACCTGGGACCCTTCAGTCCGCAGGCCGACGCTCTATCCACTGAGCCAAACCGGTTTCGGCAAAAAACATGTTTATTTTTAAGATGAATCCTAGTGCTTATCAAATCATTAAGATATTTACATATCACTCGACACAATTAAAAGTGATGTAACAGTTTTATTTCAAAAAGTCAATATTTATAATGAGCCAGAAAATATATTCTAAACTTTAAAATTATGATGAAGAACTTTATATGTCAACTTTAAAAGTTAGAGTTTCTTGCCCTGACTGGGTAGCTCAGTTGGTTACAGCATCATCCTAATACACCAAAGTTGTGGGTTCAATCCTGGGTCAGGCATGTACAAGAAACAACCAATAAATAAATAAGTGGAACAACAAATCGATGTTTCTCTCTCTCTCTCTCTGCCCCCCCTTTCTCTCTCTCTAAAGTAATTTTTTAAAAGTTGAAGTTTCTTTAGTGCAGCGGTTCTCAACCTGTGGGTCGCGACCCCTTTGGGGGTCAAACGACCCTTTCACAGGGGTCGCCTAAGACCATCCTGCATATCAGATATTTACATTACGATTCATCACAGTAGCAACATTACAGTTATGAAGTAGCAACGGAAATAATTTTATGGTTGGGTCACAACATGAGGAACTGTATTTAAAGGGCCAGAAGGTTGAGAACCACTGCTTTAGGAGGTCATGTGAGCCAAAAACGTGGAGACTAGTGTTTTAGGTGGTCAGAGCTGGGGGTGGCAGCGGCTCCCAGCATTGCTGCTGGGAATGGGGCAGTGCACTGCAGCCAACTCATCCACCTCTGGTTGGTGAGTCACCTATTCCCATTCATGCTTGACTAAGAATTATGGAAAATTCAAGTGGGAGGATCTTCAACCTGGTCTATCTCTCAATTTTACTAGGTTTGTGACCTTGGCCATGCTTTTCACATCTCTAAGCTTCATTATTAATAATTCAACACAACATACAGAATGTCACAAAATTCTACACTTATGGGATTGCCAAATAAGTGGTCTAATCTGGGATTTCAACCTTGACCCTTTCAGAGGGGCAGGCCTTGACCTAAATGAGCACGGCAGAGAGGGGCTGAGCTTCAAACCCTCTTGCTGGAAGAATGCTGTCAGTAGAGGTTTCAGAAACTGGGGTCCTGAATTTTTATGTAAAACCTGCTAACTGCCTAAAAAACATTTAAAAAATGCTTTTATACCTTCAAGACAGAAAAAAATACAAACCAGCAGCCACAAACAGCGCAAAGGGCTGCCAGCGTGTTGTAACATCTAGTAAAGAGAAACATGCAAATTGTACCTTTGCCATGCCCCAAGCCACGCCCACCAGCCAATTAAAGTGACTATATGCAAATTAACCCAACCAAGATGGCGGCCAGCAGCCACGGAGCTGGAGCAAGCAGGAGGCTTGGTTGCCCAAGATGTGGCCTCCACTAAAGGCAA